AAAAAAAAAAAAAAAAAAAAAAAAAAAAAAAAAAAAAAAAAAAAAAAAACCCAAGTTAATCACATGTTGAATGATGTGAAAATAATAAGGTGAGCGATACTTGAGTGAAGAAGGGACAGAGAATACTGTGACGAGGAAATGTCAGAGGGTTGAAATGACGAGTAAATGTCGTGATGCACAAACCCACGTTGTCATCATAAAAAAAATGTAGTCATGACAAGAGAATGTCGTAATACAAATCTTTGTGAGACTCGGAAAATACGATGGTTGAGGCCAAAGTGACCACGTTTGGGTTACACTCCTCCTAACTCAGACGAGAAATGCCAATGCTAGTTTTTGCCAAGGTTTGTATTGCAATACTTAGACAAGCTAGAAACTCAATAACAGTCTTGATTCGTAATTACCTTATACGTCATATAGAACCAATGAATCCAATTTAGTCCTTAAATTCAAATTGGTTCGATTTAATCCAATTTAGTTTTATAGAACCAATGAACCAACCGAACCCATAAAAATTTTTATTTGAAATTAACTCAATCCAAATAAGTTCATATGGGTTGGATTGAGTTGATTGGATTTTTATGGTCATCGAATTTCTTGAACGCTTCTAGTTTTACTGATCACTTAGTCTTTGAAAGCTTGTAAATGTTATAATTAAAATTGAATAAACTCAAAATATATATAAATTTCAAACCCAGGTGGATCCTATTCAAATTGGTTGTAAGATGATGTTTTTTTTATATGAAAAGATATCTCAAGGCGTTCATCTTCTCCATTGACGTCCTCATCTCGAACGTCAATCTAGCTCGCCAGTCACCTCTTTGTCTACATTGTGCTGACTATCTCTCAGCTCGGCTCTCCATTTCATTTCCGTGGACTTCTACGCTCTGTGTTTCTTGTCAAATTTTTTTGGTTTGTGTTTCTCATCAGACTCCTTGAACCGACTCTAGTTTTTTCTCTACTTCTTGTCTCTTCTTAGTTTGGAACAACTCGAACCCAACTCAAAAAAAGAGGGTTGGGTTGTAAAAATTTTCGAATTACATTGTGTTACCAATCCAACCAATCCAAACTTTTGAATCGGTTCAAAAAAATCTCTTAACCCAATTCAACCTGAACCATGTACACCAATGGTGGTGGGGGAGAAAGTACAAAAGCAGTCCAGGGTGAGTCCAAGGGTGAAGGACAAAGTCTACATTTATCCGCCAATTGGATAAAACCGAAAAAGAAAAGGAAAAAAAAAAAAAAAAAGGAAAAGGAGAAGGTGGTCCCACAACAGTATTGATCATAGACCATTAGATTTAGATCAGATGGCTAGTAAGAAGCGTGGAAAATAACAGGCATAGACATTCGAACCATACTGGGTAACAGTCCAATCAGAGTCGGGAGGCGCTGTGTAATTTTGGGGCTGTCCACCGTCTGTCTCACCTACCTGGGTGACCCACGTGGTCTAGGGATTCTGCTTCCATCAGACGCCCACCAAAAAGAAAAAAAAAAAAAATTATTATTATTATTATTATTATTATTTTAGGTTCGGGTAGGAAGGTTCGTAAGTTGGGTTTGGACATTAATATTATTATTATTATTATTGATTGTTTTAGTCATTTATTCAAAAAAAAATATATTTTTAATAATATTAATATTATTTTTTAAAGTATCTATTTATTTATTTTTAAATATCTAATTAAAAATAAAAAATATGAATATATAATTATATGTAAACAAAGTATATATTTCAAAATAATAATAAATTTGAATTAGTTTCTAGTGAAAATTAATAATAATTAAATTTTGAGCAAAAAGAACAATCAAGATGACGAAAGCCCTGGGAAGATGACGTAATCACGTCAGTACCTATTAACTCCTACCTCCCTCTCACCCTTATTTATGGACGTCTCTATCATCATCTATTTACCCTTCGCTTTTCACTTTTATTACCTAATTGCCATTTTTATGTTGAAGGGATATAAACGTTATAAATGAGGGCATAATTTATAACATTTAAATTTTTAATACTATAATGTAGCCTATAATAATTTAAAAATTATTATTTACTATTTACTTATGTATTTAAGTATTTATATGTGTATGTATATATGTATGTAACGAGATAATATCGAAGATGAAAAATGTAATTTCTATATATGACCTTCGTTTAGCTAATATCATTGCATGTCAAACTCCTTATGTTATATCACTTTATTTCTTAAGTGTATGACGTTTCGACAAAATCATGTCTATATTTGGTAGACTTGAAATGCCTCAAAATGTACTATAAGAGAATGCAACTAGTCGTCAATTCTTCCTACCCAGAGTTATATGCTATCTAAGTCACGGGACTAGATGTTGAACATACGTCGTCCAGCCGTAAGTGACACGATTTTAAATTGGCTGACTTACTTGGTACTGGGAGTAAGTGTGACGTTTCGAGAGAGTGTGATTGTGGGTGATGGGAAATGGAGAAAGCGGAATGAGGAAGTGACACGTAAGTGAAAGTGATGGGACATAGGTAACAGTGAGTGTAGGTTAGCATAGATAGAGCCTAAAATGGGAATAGCTAAAGGGCAAGTAAGCAACAAACATAGCATAGAGGAAATTGATTGGAAAAAATAACATAAACAGAATAACTCAATCATATGACCCTTCATGTGTTTGAAGAAACCAAATAAAGAAAAGGGACCTTCTTTCCAATTGCATTGCCCTTCCTTTGTGGGTCACTTTGTTGGGTAGGTCATCATACAAAAAGTTCGTGATGTTCTAAAACTTATCGGGTCCTACCTCATGCCATCACGAGCGAACCAGTCCGACTGGTACCCAATAATTGAAATCCACATCCTGTTATTTGTATAAATTCTTAATTCAAACACGAGCGAACCAGCCCGACTAGTACCTCATGCCATCTGAGCTCTTATCTTCTTAAGAATCCATATATCTCTTATCAAGCTACGAAAAGTTATAGCTCTCGAGCACCTAATAAGTGCTTAGAAAAATCTTAATCCTCTCGATCACTCCCTGAAATCGAAAGGAAGACCGTGAAATTCGACTACTTGGTAACCTTAGAGCCCAAATTTTGAGAAAAAAAGCCCATGAAATGCAAAATCTTCACTTGTGCATGAGTGTGAAATAGCCCAAGGACTAATATGCCTTAAATTAATATAAAATACCTTTTGCGTTT